TTGGAATGAGATCCTCGTTTCATGTCCATCTTTTGCGAAGTTTTAAGTTTTGAGGTGTACTAAAGTTTAGCACAACCTTTTACTCATAGATGGATGACCAAACAAAATGTTTGAACAAGATCTTAGAAGATATGCAAAGCGTTTGTATGTTGGATTTTCTTGGTAGTTGGACCTCCAACTTGCCGTTCATGGAATGCTCATATAATAATAGCTATCAGGCAATCATCGACATGGCGAAAAAGGTGCAGAATCTTTGCTTACTAAGATGAGGTAGTAAAACGCAAATTATTAATCATTTTGTTAGTACAAGTTACGAGTAACGCTATCCAAAAGATTAGGAGAATGATATAAGCAACACAAAGTAGATAAAAGAACAGGTGTTTTGAGGTTTAGTAGAAAGAGTAGCTCATTCCATGTCAAACCATTTGAAATCTAAGAGCAAGTTGGGGTTAGTTACTTATTGCTCGGCGTTGCTCGGCCCTACCACCGTCCCTCTATCTCTCTCTCATACAGCTCTTGCACTGTAGTTCGTCAAGTTGTGCCTCAGCCTTCCACCTCATTAAATTCTCTAACTGCCTTCGATCAAGATACACCATTGTCACTAGACTCGATGAAAGTGTCGAACAGGTCGGAAATAGGTTTTACGAGCCAAATAAGCTGCCGGAGTTGAGAAGCTATTGTCGGAGCCGAAAAGAGTTTTGTGCCAGATGCTTACACGTGGTGCAACCAGGAGCAGCTGCGTGTGCTAGCCGAAGTCAGGCCGAGGAGCGGGTCGTCGATTCAAGGCACGGGTTTTTGGGTTGTAATCGCAAGTCTGGGTCGATCGTAGTTGGACCTTGGGTTGGGTCAATTGGTCCGCCTATGGTGAGCACCGATTGGCTCATCCCTTCTGTCGGCGATACGCTCCTGGCCTTAACTGGTCGGGTCGTGCCTCCAGCGCTGTTACTTTGTAGAAATTAGAGTGCTCAAAGCAAGCCTACGCTTTGTATACATTAGCATGGGATAACATCATAGGATTACGATCCTATTCTGTTGGACTTCGGGATCGGAGTAATGATTAACAGGGACAATCAGGGGCATTCTTATTTCATAGTTAGAGGTGAAATTCTTGAATTTATGAAAGACGAACAACTGCGAAAGCATTTGCCAAGGATGTTTTCATTAATCAAGAACGAAAGTTAGGGGCTCGAAGACGATCAGATACCGTCCTAGTCTCAACCATAAACGATGTCGACCAGGGATTGGCAGATGTTGCTTTAAGGACTCCGCCAGTACCTTATGAGAAATCAAAGTCTTTGGGTTCAGGGGGGGAGTATGGTCGCAAGGCTGAAACTTAAAGGATAGATCATTGCAATTGTTGGTCTTCAACGAGGAATTCCTAGTAAGCGCGAGTCATTAACTCGAGTTGACTATGTCCCTGCCCTTTGTACACACCGCCTGTCGCTCCTACCGATTGAATGGTCCGATGAAGTGTTCAGATCGTGGCGACATGGGCGATTCGCTACCTGCGACTTCGCGAGAAGTCCACTGAACCTTATCATTTAGAGGAAGGAGAAGTCGTAACAAGGTTTCCGTAGGTGAACCTGCGGAAGGATCATTGTTGATGCCTAAACATCAAATGACCCATGAACGTGTTTACAAACTTTTTGTGTCGGGGGGAGCATTCGTGCACCCTCTGATGCCCAAACAAAAACTGGCGCAAGTCGCGCCAAGGATCTCAAACGTATAAGCTTTCCCCTTGCCCCGATCTCGGTGTGAGGGGGGCAAAGCATTCTTGTCGTATTATTCACAACGACTCTCGGCAACGGATATCTCGGCTCTCGCATCGATGAAGAACGTAGTGAAATGCGATACTTTGTGTGAATTGCAGGATCTCGGGAACCACCGAGTCTTTGAACGCAAGTTGCACCCGGAGCCTTCTGGCCGAGGGCACGTCTGCCTGG